TATCCCTAACTCATTTTTATTCTTATCGTACAAGCCTGATACAAACTACACACACACACACATAGAAAAATGATTCTTTATAGAATTGCGATTGTACAGCTAATTGAATGAATTCGTTGCAAAGAGACTCCTCGCTGAACTACGCGTTTCCTTTTCATTAATCGTGAATGACACAGTAGCCGGAATATTTCGTCTAGTTGAAGGCGTTTATTAAATACCAATATGTAAGCGATACGTGATCGGTGGTATCCCATGTATGTTTGGTGGAATGCATTCAACTTGATCATTGGACGAAAGACCTTAAAATCCGTGTAGATATCATGTTCACTGGTTGTCATGGAAGAACTGCATTCCGTGCCTCTCACGAACAAAGTATTTCATTATTTCTCCTGAACTGCAGGACTCCTTGAGTTATCTGATGTCATAATTGTTCACTTCCCATGCTCTTGTCATTTCACTAGTTACGCACACTTCACTCCAGCTTATTGATATTCGTTTCTGCTCTGATTGACTAATTCTCTATGTGCTTATGTCTTCATGAAATCCATTCGTACTAATGAATAGCGAGTAGTGATCAGCTGGAGAATTCCATTCTCATTCTGACTCTGTATTCATTCACCTTCCTAAATGCTCATTCACGAAATCATGTTGAGACACTGTACAATTGATTTCGATTTACCAGAACAATGTAAGGCAGTCTAGTATCGAGTAATGAGACGGCTTCTTGTTTCAACTCACACGGCTGATCAGGAGTGATTTCGATATATTGAATATCGATTCATAATCTGCACCGATATCGTGGAGTAAATGTTTGAAACACAGTGAAGAATAAAATTGCTAATGAATAGATTGAATGAGAAGCGAAGTAGTTTGTTGATTGTCCACACGACTAGTGTGGCGGAGACAAGAACAAAGACTGAATGGCGAAATATGTGAAAGTGAGATTAAATGGAAATAACAGTGGAGTGAGTAGTCGACATGCACTTTCAAAAAGGTCGGTGTCCTCGATATCGTATGCTTGATTCTATTCTTAATATTTCACTTTATAACAATTATTCCAGAAATTGAGATGTTCATTATGAATAGACATAATTTCGTTGTCCCAGACCAACTCCGCATGTCGTGTGTCTTTCGAAATTTATTCAGTCTAGTTGATGAGTGAAATCACTCAGCGATTGGTGAATGAGTCAGGAAGGAGATATCAAGTGTCAAGGTGACTCACAGATATACACAGATGAAGGTGTTCATGAATATGAGTAACCAATTGTTCATATCATCCTGTTGATTCACCCAACGTGGAACGCACGACAGAACTGATGTCACTGGAGGCTGCAATGTCTCGTATACACAAAAACACTTCACGTGTAGATATCCGTTTGTGGAAAACCAGAAATGAGTAGATTAAAAAACCCCATTGAGTTATTCCAATTAGAAAAAACAAGCAGAGTGTAGTTAAGAATCAATCAACCTCACATCATGTCAGCTCATTTGTGATTAGAAAAAGAGAAGACATTCAGCGAAGAGACTCTTTTCGGCGAATTCATTCACATAGCTGTACAATCGCATTTATATATAAATATTTGTGTGTGTGTGTACATGAGGTTTGTCAAGTTTAGATAATTGATTAGTTAATACAAGAATGATGTAGTATAGAGACAAAGTTAATCAGACAGCAACTAAAGTAAGATTGAGTTAAAAAGCTAGATGACGTAATATAATTGGCTAAAATGTTACAGCTTAGGTCAGGATAGCAACAGAGGTAATTACAGGTAGAGATTAAGTAGAAATGAAATTGAGTGAATAAGTTGGATGACGTAACATGAATGACTAGAAACTGAGCGTTGTTCAAGTCAGTAACAGTGGTAGTGAGGTGTAGAAATTGAATCGGGTGGGGGTAGAGAACAAGAAAGTTGAAAATGTAAAATGTTACAATTGAGAAGACAAAATAATACTAATGAAGAGACAGAAGAAAAGATTAGGTAGAATTTACATGTCGGCTAATAAGATAGATAACGTCCATTGCAAGTGTAGTGATTGAACGAACTTCTTCTGTATGCAGAGTTCAGGACTTAGCAAGTGAAGTTTGAAGAAGTCTGATTCGAACACTTTCAGGAAGACTGCTTCGTATTCTGCAGACGACTTTGAAGTTAGTTTGGAGTGTAGCTTGGTGTCCGGAATCTATCAGATGTTCTAAGATAGAACTGTGGGGGCGTCGATTTTCTCCTTTGTAAAACCATGTTGGTAAGTGTTCGGTGATACGTTTGGAAAGCGAGCGCTGGGTACGGTCGACATACCTGGCTCCACACGAGCAGGTGAATTGGTAGATAGACAATGATGAGGCAAGCAGTGGTAGCTTATTTTCCACTCTCATACGAATCATAGGTTTCGTGGAGAAGGTTAATCGTAGTTCATCTGCGAAGAAGGTTTCCTTAAGTGAGCGCGACAGTCGAATTTTCAGTATTTTCGCAGATGAGTCTGCACTGAATTGAAGGTTCATGTAGAGGAGTTTTCTCGGAAGGCTAAGCGTGGGTGGCTTTTGCGGTCTAGGATTCGTGGATTTTGCAATAAATCGTTCTGGATAACAATTGTCGACGAGGATCCTCCTGAGATTGTTCAATTCGTCTTCTATGGTGTCCGGGGTGCAAATTGTGCCAACTCTGTACCTGAGTGAACGGATCAGGTTTCGTTTGGTGTATAGTGGTACCCAACTGTGAAAGTTAGTAAGCTGTCCGTTCCACGTCGATTTTCTGTGGATAGATCTTTTCAGTGTTCCATCCTGTTCTCTTCTTGTTAGTTGGACGTCAAGAAAAGATATTGTGGAGTTGGACTCTTTCTCCATCGTGAACTGAATTGCAGGGTGGCAGTTGTTAAACGACTTCAAGATATCGTCCAGATTTTCTTCGTTGTTGACGATAATGAAGGTGTCGTCGACGTATCTTTTATAGATTTCGAAGGTATTGATCATTTTCTTCAGGCATGTGTTTTCGAGTTTTGCCATGAAGAAATCTGCAAGCAAAGGGCCTAGTGGTGAACCCATAGCTATACCATCCTTTTGGCGATATATTTATATATATATATTTATATATTTCGAAACCTGATCCGTTCACTCAGGTACAGAGTTGGCACAATTTGCACCCCGGACACCATAGAAGACGAATTGAACAATCTCAGGAGGATCCTCGTCGACAATTGTTATCCAGAACGATTTATTGCAAAATCCACGAATCCTAGACCGCAAAAGCCACCCACGCTTAGCCTTCCGAGAAAACTCCTCTACATGAACCTTCAATTCAGTGCAGACTCATCTGCGAAAATACTGAAAATTCGACTGTCGCGCTCACTTAAGGAAACCTTCTTCGCAGATGAACTACGATTAACCTTCTCCACGAAACCTATGATTCGTATGAGAGTGGAAAATAAGCTACCACTGCTTGCCTCATCATTGTCTATCTACCAATTCACCTGCTCGTGTGGAGCCAGATATGTCGACCGTACCCAGCGCTCGCTTTCCAAACGTATCACCGAACACTTACCAACATGGTTTTACAAAGGAGAAAATCGACGCCCCCACAGTTCTATCTTAGAACATCTGATAGATTCCGGACACCAAGCTACACTCCAAACTAACTTCAAAGTCGTCTGCAGAATACGAAGCAGTCTTCCTGAAAGTGTTCGAATCAGACTTCTTCAAACTTCACTTGCTAAGTCCTGAACTCTGCATACAGAAGAAGTTCGTTCAATCACTACACTTGCAATGGACGTTATCTATCTTATTAGCCGACATGTAAATTCTACCTAATCTTTTCTTCTGTCTCTTCATTAGTATTATTTTGTCTTCTCAATTGTAACATTTTACATTTTCAACTTTCTTGTTCTCTACCCCCACCCGATTCAATTTCTACACCTCACTACCACTGTTACTGACTTGAACAACGCTCAGTTTCTAGTCATTCATGTTACGTCATCCAACTTATTCACTCAATTTCATTTCTACTTAATCTCTACCTGTAATTACCTCTGTTGCTATCCTGACCTAAGCTGTAACATTTTAGCCAATTATATTACGTCATCTAGCTTTTTAACTCAATCTTACTTTAGTTGCTGTCTGATTAACTTTGTCTCTATACTACATCATTCTTGTATTAACTAATCAATTATCTAAACTTGACAAACCTCATGTACACACACACACAAATATTTATATATAAATGCGACTGTACAGCTATGTGAATGAATTCGCCGAAAAGAGTCTCTTCGCTGAATGTCTTCTCTTTTTCTAATCACAAATGAGCTGACATGATGTGAGGTTGATTGATTCTTAACTACATTCTGCTTGTTTTTTCTAATTGGAATAACCTTTTCCTGTACAGCTGTCAATTGAAACCGATCAGGTAATTTTAGTTTTCCATGTTATTATTGTTCATGTTCAATACAACCCCACACAATTTAAGACGAACAGCAGAGTTTTAGCTGCCTTTGTAGAGCTTTGCGACTGTGTGTCTCTCGAGTTAGTTTCGAATAGCCAGTCAGTGGGATGCATTAAACGGTTTCCTCTGTTCACACCCAAACTATTCAGCGTTGCTTGTTACACAGAGACTAATGGATGCTCATTCTACGGATATTTCAACGTATCTAGATATCATGCAGCCTGTCTTCGTTCAGATGTATCTATTTGGTATCAGTGATGAGGAGCATAACTGCTATAACTATGTTTCGTTTGCCAACAGATATAACTGCATCTTCCACAGGGTTCATGTGTGTGAATAACACAACGGACAATTTGTGCCATGGAAACGCCCTCTCCTCTCAGAAGTATCTGACGCACACTTCACTGAAGGGACTCATTCTGAAAACAGCCACCTTATGACCACTGTCACATTACCATATTCACGATGACGACAGCCCACCACAAAATCTTCTACCGTGAATTCAAATATTAACCACACACGATCGCAACCAACAGTTCAACAAAAGTTTCAATTCATGAAGAAATAGCGGTGTAGCAGATAATTGATTTATTTAATTTACTTAAATGAAAATAAAATATTTACGAAAGCTTCTACAATCTACATGTATTCAGTAGTACGCCGACTTTTACATTCATCCTGGTACTCGTCTCTTCAATTTTCTGTATGAGAATAAAATCAGTTAGCAATATTGCTGGATAAAAAATTTTAGTGGTTAAATAATCGAGGAACACGTATACTGGAGAGAATGATGATTGATGGTGAACTGTGTGCTCATTCAAACAATCCCAGAATTCTGAATATTTTCAGTGAGTGATAATTTCTATCCTCATTATTTGTCTGAGTACATGGGTTGCTCTCCTTCAATAGTTCACTGTGGGTCGTGTGAATTTCACTGGCTTGCTTTCATATTCTCAGTGACGCCTTTGAATTGTGCATGTGTATTCTCATGCATTCATGATATCATCTATTTAGAACTGCCACGATCTTATTCATCGCCGGATATTCACACGGTTACTTGAAAACGCCACTGATGATACTTTCACCATTCGATTAAACAGGTGAATTCGAGATTGGAATTTGAACTACACACTCATTGACCTATATTTGTGCTATATGGTGGGAGAATAGTCGACGGTGAAAAATATTATCTAGCTGTTGTAGTGAATATCCGAATCCCGTGTTGTACTCTGCCCACTGATCAACTGTCTCACATTTCGTGTCTTGAAGATTCTAACCTGCACTCCATTAACAGACATTATCCTCATGTGCCACTTTTGTATGATTTAGAGTGGAAGCTGATGCAAAATATATCTCACCTTTCAACATCTTCAACTGGGTTGTGTAAACTTTCTTGTAAACTAGAAATGATAAAGCATATTGGGAAATATATGAATTGACTAATGAAAGGGATTGTTGTCTATCACTGCGTTCGTATGATAACTAATATCAGATAGACACTGACTATTAGGTGTACTGAGAAAATGAACTCACACATTTCAACGCTAAACAAGCAGGTTTGGTTGAATACTGAATCGATTTCATTTTTCAGTTGCAGCCGATCTGAAATAATTCATGAAAGAATGTATCTTCCAGAGTGGATATCTCAGAATCAAATTATGAGATTGGAAAACAAAATAACGTGACATGAAAACAATCTATTTCATGCACAGATTCAAGCAATTGACTACTTCACAAATTCATCCACTTGCATGATGTTAACTTTGCACCATGTTCAAACTGCAGTCATCATGTCACTATGTCAGTACTCATTCAGTTTCACGTTCACCAGATTATCTTCCAGTGTGTGTTTCTACTCATATTCACACCATCTGAACAATTTCACTTGTAGACGACTGACCACATCCTAGACCACCACTGAAATTGTCCATCCCCCTCCATACATTATTTTTCGACTTTTGGAGAATCCTCATCATAGACTGTCGTACAATAAGAGGTGGATGTTCACGAATTCAAGTCATGACATGTGAATATATATTCTCATCGTGAGTGAATATGAAAATGTTATTCATTTCATCAGGAATGTAAAAGGGAAAAAACGAATACCTCCGTTACTCGCCGAAGGTAGCATTTCGAGACAGAATCCAGGATGGTACGCCAAAAACTTTTCTATTTGTGGGTGAGTGAGAGTAGAAAAACAGGTTCATTAGTAGTCTAAATTTAACTCAAATATGTGTAGACTGGAATTTCGAAAATCGTTACTACACACAGACAAGATAATTCAGACCGATTAGCGCAATAAAATGCTACTTACGAAAATATTCTTCTGATTTTTGACCGCAACAACGTCTTATTTTCCTTAATTTTTCGTCATCAACTGTAAATAAATTAGTTTCACACATATCAATCCATGTCTGTTGTTTTCAAGATAATACTTATTCACATTGATGCAAGTTGAATGCAAACACAATCACAATTTAGGCGAATAAAATTTGTCTACTAGTCCACAGATTGTCAACGAATATCAAAAATGAGAAATACAACAGTCGAACATCTGTCGTCAATCCGTTTCTCATGTTCATCGGTGTGTAAGGAAACTCTTCACCTTTATTTGACGTTAGCAAAAGAAATGCCCGAATTAAATAATGATAGTTGAGGTGTTAACGCGTGAATATAAGCCAGGTGAAGATAGTTAGCCAGAATATTGACGAGAAATAATTATGATAGTAAATAAGTATAGAAATGATTCAAAATATCTAGCTTACAGCCGTAAAGATTATTTGCCATACCTAGGAAAGATAGAAAGACTTTGACATATTTAGCGGCTCTAATAAACTTTTAGTTTACAACCTTGCAAAGATTCATCATGCCGCAGTCGAATAGATATTATTTATTACTGAGATGATCGGTGAGAGAGCATATCATCAACTTTGAGTGTATCACGAAAGTGACTTTTGACTCATCAAATGGAAGCACAGTGTGTAGTGAATAAATTTCGTGAATAAAATTATGTTTTAAATGAAGAGAATTTCTTAGAACCCACGTATAAATGCAACATCTCCCCACTTGTATGTGTATGTAGTTTCCAGGCACTTCGTATCTAAAATAGGTTTTCCATCATTTCAATAGATACGATTTGCTTACAGTTTTCTAATTCTCCTCGTAAGCTTGGATTCCGACTGAGAATCTTGGCTAGAACAATGGCTAGAAATGCAAAAGGGTATAGTGTTTACAACTTGTAGAGATATGTATTTTAGTTATGTCACTATATGCTACAAACTAGATGACATGATTGATGTCATCATTAGTAATAATTACGAAAATCTTATTCGAAGCATATTTTCGTCAGCGTGAAAATATTATCAACAATCAGGCTTAAGATTTTATATACCTTTAGTATTTTGTACTTTCTCCTTTGCACTTTTGAGCTCCGAAATTATCCCGGGTATTTTAGCTGTGGGAAGACGAGAATATTTTGAATGAATTATTATATGTGACTTAAGATGACTGATTGCAAATGAATAATACACATTGGAAATAGTTTCATTGAAGACGACTGAAGGAATTTCAAGCGATCCAGTCATTCTACACACTGTCTTTAACGATATTATATCAATTTTTGATTCGTGCAGCAAGACCATGGCTACAACGATCATTGTGAGACTTTCGTTATTCTCAAACATTTGCCGAGACCAATTCTCAAGTAGATTGTTAACCTCAAATAATATGCAGGTTATTCATTCTTACATTCAGTTTCCGCTAGCCTCTTTTTAATTTCAGCTGCCATCATCGATTCGCCTGGAAATGAAATGAGGGAGTGAAAACAACAATTATTATACAGAGAAGCAGTTTCAGAACACTGGAGATAGTCAGAACAATTTCTCCACTTGAATTGTATCAAACTCCTTTAGAGGGCTTTATGTATGCCATTGCAGTGCATAAACACATCATCTCAAAATGTGTATTTGGACAATCTTTGGAAATTTTAGCCGAACACCCTATCAGAATGAGAGAGCTTGTCGCTGTTCAACTGTTAACATACACAGTCTCTGAGTCAGAATGAAGAGAAGGGACACCTTCACTAGTACTATTACTCTTCTGGTCACCATCTGTCAGTCAAGATAAAATCGAGATGAAAGCATCCGCAGAAAGTGATCACTCCAAAGTAAAAGCTCAACCAGAAAGAATGAACTGTGAGAGTGAATAGCGAAATATTCAACAGTTCTAGTGAATAAAGCAAACATTTCGTAAAGAACTAGCCACAAATATACCATCTTTTGAGAAAATACTTACCTGAAACAGTGGCTGCAAATGCCAACAAAGTGACGAATGCTACGTGGCTGTATGCGAAGTGGACCATCTTCTGATGGTAACTGACTTTCCGTTCCCGTATTTATACCAAAACAAGCAGTCACAGTTATTGTTGTAATCTGATGATTGGTTAATTACAATAATCATAATTTCATCGTTCATTTGTCGAAGACTGTGAGTGTTGTGATTGGTAAGTGAAACAATGCCTCATGATGTCGTATGACTTATATCATGAATCGGGGGAATCTGATAGGTGCGATGATCACCGTCAATCTTCAGAAACACTTTAATCAAAATAGTGAGCAGAATGCATGCGATGGCGTCCACATGAAGTTTGTGACACTCGAGCTTCATTTGAAAATACTATTTCATTCAGTAGTACACTGAATGTCATCATTTGTTCTTATGACTCCATCAATGCATGACTTCCTGCATTCAATTTGCTAGTATCCGCCATTTTAGAAAAGCAGGTGAAGTCTTCAAGGACACAGTATTTGATTCACATTTCTGGGTTTCAGTCTGATTCAGCCGTGTATAAATTGAGTTGTTATACAGCAAAGAGATTATTTGGACGCTGTATTATTCCGTGAAGATGCAGTTCCAACGTAGAATGTTTTCGATGTAACTGAGGTGTCTATGCTGCATGGTTTACTTACGAATACTTCACTGCCTTACTAGGCTACATTTTCAGCTCAAACCACAATATGTCGATTTGAGCTTTGATCTTTTTCAACTAGTATACCAGTCACGCGAAATGATGACCGCGAATGGCATGACTGGTGACCTCTCTGTGTTTCATGAGTCTTGCTAAATTCAATCAGTCTAGTTGATGAGTGATATCACTCAGCGATTGGCGAATGAGTCAGGAAGGAGATATCAAGTGTCAAGGTGATGAAGGTGTTCGTGAATATGAGTAAACAATTGTTCATATCATCCTGTTGATTCATCCAACGTGGAACGCACGACAGAACTGATGTCACTGGAGGCTGCAATGTCTCGTATACACAAAAACACTTCACGTGTCGATATCCGTTTGTGGACAATCAGAAATGAGCTGACATGATGTGAGGTTCATTACACATCCTATTAAACTGGTTGATGAGTTCATCAGTGAATTCACCTGAATATTGTGATAATGTGATGTGCAGAGGAAGAAAGGTGTAATACTGATGTCAGAAATGCGTAATGTTTCCAATGACGGAAATTTCTGTCAATTTCAACAACCTCATCTGAATCCCGAAATACTAATCATTCAACACTTGGCTGAGTTTGAGAAGCAACTGATTTATATGTGATATAGAGGATAGAGAGACGCTGTTTTATATGTGAATGATATTCTACTTGGAATACATTTCGGGAATTGGACGAATACAGGTGAGTGAGTACTGACGATTCCCTTCAAACCCCATTCCGGCGTTTCCTGCACTAACTAATCGCACACTCACTCAAGGATAGTACGATTTCTCGCCTGCACGCTCATCAACCTTCACGTCTCAATTCGAATGTGGTCGATTTCTCGATCCCTTATATTCTCTACAGTCTATTCGATGTGTTACGAATGCGTAAGACTACAGTATGACGGAGTGGTTGTTTAGAAGTTTCCTCGTGAACAATCTAGTTGAGATAATTATCCTCATTCGAATATTTCAACTAACTTTTTAGTTATCATCCCAATTTCTCCAAGATTACTCACCGTTGTTCTCACACTCGTATGTCACGTGTTCACTTCATGCTTATTAATTGTCTTTGCTGCTTTTCATTTATCCATTCATTCATTGAGAAATTCAAAAACACATTTCAGCCATTTCACTCGATTGAGCTTAACAGCCTCAGACACTGATTTCCTCTCACCACATCACACCTGCAGGGCAATCAGAGCGAATTTCTGCGCACTAGGCATTTTCGTCGACAGATAACTAGTAGTGATGAAGAGTGGCAAATATATCCTCGGACTTTCTCCCAATGTACTTCCACCTCATCAACAGCCAGTCCACTTATAAACATGAAACTTCGAAAAAGAATTGGAGTTTGCAGTACATTGAACCACTTTACTCACCACCAATACTCGCCTTATAAGTGGAGTTACTGGAGATCTCAATAGAAGTCACATCTATGCATTTTATGGTCAATGGACAATAACGTCATCCTTCAACACATTCGAAGAAGAGGGAATGAATTACCACACCACCCTCGGAAAAAGGATGTTAGTGTTGCACTCGTATTTACCACATTTGCAGTATGGTGTACTTTGTGCATCATAGATAACCACAACTTGTACATCGCCAACAATCATTCTGGAGAGAAGTGAATACTGATGAGATCGAGAAACCGGTTACAGTTATGTTGCTTCGGAAGAAACAAGGGATAATGGTAAATACATTTGAAGTGGTGCTCTGACAGGGAAATAAGAGAAGTTAGAATACACTGATTGTGAGGTTCGTTTGTGTGGAGTTCATCGAAGAGAACCATCAGCTTGCATCTACACGTGTTGCAAGATCATACATTCTAGAGACACAAGATTCGCCTTAGTCAAGCATGTGAGATGATATTGCAAGTCCTCCCTCGTCTGTTCCAAGTGTCACCACAATCCAGACTCCTCTCACTCCAGTCTTTTCGTATCAGAAATGCGCTGTTTGTGAGACATCAGTTGCATTTGCATTTCAAAGCTTCATATAGGAGGCATAAATGGAAGAGAGTAGATTTTCACCATCCTCGTTCTACTTCACAATTAGTGACTAACGAAATCCAGTCATTTCTCCATTGGAGATGTATGTATTCAAGGTGTAGTTACAAAATGTATAAGTCTCTTGGTTAAGCCTCATGCAGTTACGAAGCATCACAAGATTTGTCCAAGGACAGAATCACCTTGAATCACTCAACCAGAACCACATCGCAAATCCCCACATTATCAATGTATGGCACAACCACACATAGAAGCATTGAACTAGAGCTCAAACAGTGTATCACTTGACTGCAGCCATCTTCACACTGATGTTGTAAATCAAAAGTGAGATGCACACAACAAACAGCGGTGAAGTGTATTCAGACAGACCAAATGTGAGATACAAAGGATTCAGTTGAATTGTGAGTGAAGTCAGTCGTCTCATGTGCAGCATGTGAATGGAATCAGTGAGGCGGTGCAGGAAATTCGCCCAACTCATTCGCCTACAGGTTCCACTGCTCTTTTGCACTCAACACAATATCCGAGCTGAGAAACTCTCAGTCTACGAAATTACTTCTAAAATACAAATAATTAGTAACACTGACAAATTTTCATAAAACAAACAGTGCTTGAAGTTTACCTGGAATCACACAAATAATTCCGCCCTGTGTAAATTATTTCATCGTACGATATGAAGCAGGTCTCATGCGTTATTTCTATGCGTGGGCTGGTGATCATTGATTCTGATCACAATTGAGGAGGTCAGTTACTTTCTTGAAATAATAATAATAATGCCTTTATTCCAAACAGTATTTGTGGTACAGGTATTGAATTTTCAGCGTGCATTACAATATTGCATCTAATTACCTCATAAATTTTATAAGGATTTAAAAATAAGGAACAACATCAACAAAAAGAGAAAAGAGAAATAAAAGAAATAAAAAAGAACAGCATTGCATTCACATATATTAAACAATGCACCACAGGATATGATATATAAAATTAGTCTGTAATAGAATATATGAGCAACAGTATAATAGTAACAAAGAAAGGAGAACAAAAGCTAATGGGAACTATTTGTTAGAGTGCCGCAGTAAGGTGATCGTGTCATGCCCTAGCTGTTTTCTCATCACATAACAGCTGTGCCAGATAAGGTATTGTGGAGTTTTGTACTCGGTAGTCCTGGCATATAGCCTCCTATAGTTGCTTCTATTTCGACCAGATGAAATGCAAGGAGAGAGCTGCGTATAGAGAGGGTGTTCGGGATCTGACAATATAGAATTCACTAGTTTCTTACATGACATTATATGTCTATCCACTATGGTGTTTACCAGTTGGTTTAACGAAATCCCACTTTCCATACTAAGAGCTTTTAGTGCCCTATGCAGCAAAGCAAAGTCTTTCTTAAGCAGTACAGGAAAGATTAATGGGGAGCAGTAAGGAGGGATGGTTAGAATACAAGAGTTGACAAACTGAGAAAGCAAAGACTGCTTTATACCAGACTGCCTTAACTTCCTAACGTAGAACGTTAAGCGAAACATCTTTCTAGTCACTAGCAAGATGTGAGAGGACCAGGAAAGATCGGAGGAAATACTCAGTCCAAGGTACTTGACATTAGATGTAGTTTCAACCTCTATGCCGTCAATGATAGTGGGACCATGTGAGCTAGCTAGTTGTTGTAGGTCAATTTTTCGTCTGAAATTGAAATTTACTACCTGACATTTAGACGGATTCAGCTTAAGACCGTTTGAAGAGGACCACTGACTAATTTTCGAGAGAAAGTTATTTAATATGGAACAGTCTGACTGAGAGTTGACAGGCATGGAGACAGAGAGGTCATCAGCATACTTGACAAAAGTGGCTACATCAGAATTGGGCAAGTCATGTAAGAAAAAAGAAAACAGAAAAGGAGAAAGAACAGCACCTTGAGAAACACCAGCTAAAGTAAGTGAGGTAGTGGGGGACTTTCCATTGTAGACGGTGTACTGCTTTCTATCAGAAAAGTAGGAATACAACCACTTATTTATCCAGCTCTCACTCTGTGTTGCAGCAAGCTTGCTTAACAAGAGAGACCTAGGTACAGTGTCAAATGCAGATGTGTAATCAAGGAAGGCACACCGAACATATTTGGCTCCTCTATCTAAACTAGAGACTATATTACGATATAGAACATCAGCGGCATCTAAGGTACACCTACTATGTTTATAGGCAAACTGGTTGGGGTCATTAAAAGGCTTTAAAGAGGGTTCAAGATTAAGTAAAATAAGTCTTTCCATAACTTTTAAAAAAGGTGAGGTAATAGCAATGGATCTAAACTTGACAGTATCTACACTCACACTGTGTACACCCACGTCTTCAGAATATCACTGATATGAATGAATAAACACGATAC